AAAAGTACAAAATTTAGTGACTAGATTGCAAAATAGTGAGAAATATATAATTTTTAGATGATAATGTGATGAGTTATGATTATTTAGTGATTAAAAACGTAACTAGATTCTTATGTTTTATTCAAAAACCTTTTAATAAATTCGAGATTTTGAGGGATTAAAGTGAAAAAAAGTTTTGAGGTCAATAATGTCTTTATACCAAATGTGTATTTATTGGAGTATCAAAATTATCCTATCAACATTGGACTCATTCCGAAACCCGAGATAAATGATGAATTATGGACTCGAGAAAATGTTAATTTGGATAAAGCAAATTCAAGTTGTAACTCATTAAAATAACTACTTGATATGTAATATTAGTTTTTAAATTAAATCAGATTACCCTAACGACATGGAGCTCGTTTGGTAGCTTGAAATTAATCATGTTTATTAAATTTGAGAAATATTAATTTGAATAAGATTGTACTAAGTTAGAATCAACAAAAAATATTGTAGTTAAATTAATTTTTATATCTATCTTTTAAATTTAATTGGACTTCTTAAGTGAATTGTTTTTCATTTTTGAGGCCCCTATATGATTTGAGACCCTAGGTCATTGCCTTGTTAACCTTACCCCAGGGCCGGCCCTGGTGTCAAGCCTATGACCACGCACATAATTATTTTGCCAATAAATTGGAACTATGCCAAATCCAATTTTATACAACTCTAAGACAAATATCCAGGTTACATTGCTCAAGTTTACTAACAAATCGATGTATGCAGAGAATTATTAATTGACTATTTGTAAAAAGTCCAACGGGCTATGGAACAAAGGATTCGCGTAGCAGAATGTCATCTGATGAAATATAAACAAATTTAGAGATATGGCAATATGGAGAAAGCAAAATTGTTTAAAGCACCAACACTATCGAAAGCATCCCTTCTTTCAAAGAGAAGACTTAGAAGAGGACGAGCTATTAACATTTTATTTGATAGTCAAAGGCAAATTGATAGCTAAGCAGTGAATTGTAAAGATTCTCTATGATAATTTCCCATCGGCTACATATCTAAATAATAGATATATGTATATATATGTAACAAATTCTGAGGTTTATAAATATACTGATCTATTTTATGATAATAGAAATTGAGAAGGGCAATGGCAATTCTTTGTGAGGACACAAGCATCATCAGCGGCTAAGATCTCTCAAATAAGAATAGTTGAGCGCATTCGATGAAAGAAAGCAAAGATTAAAAATTCTCTTATCGAGTACAAAGCTTTAAATGTTGTTTAATCAATTATTGATTTTACAAATATAGTGACCAACACTACAAATTAATACAAGGTAACCAAATACATTTTGTACACAATTCTGTTACAATAATACTATTATGAAAATTCAGCTTTACCTACTACTTGAAATTGACTAAATTTTAATCACACAAAATTGGAAGTCAACATCGCATGATCCTATACTATGATACTATGCTTTGTGCTCATTGATTACCACCCAAAACATGGAGACAAATTGCAAAACCCGACAACTAAAGCATCTTTACATGGTACCTAAAATACACACACCGTGATCCAAACCTTTATAATTATCAAAATGGGCATGCGTCATCTAAAGATAAAATTCAATATATAGTGAAAGGGGAAATTTGAAGCACACCACATGAATATTGCCAAGTGTTCTTCAGTCATCAACATCATATAATTCAATTAATTAAAGCATTATAGTTAGGATTATTCTCAGTGTACAGAAAGAAAAATCCACAGAATGTTTACAGGCCCTCACATGGGTGTAGATCCCATGTGAATATTTTATTGCAAAAAATAAATCATCCACCCCACTATTGAATCTTATCTGTAATACTTCTATAAAGTTTCTCCCTGTAAGTGTAGCTTGACTCTCACAGTTATCCCAACTCCGTAGGATGAGTTAGGAAACTTTTTCATTAAGTTTCATTGGGAACATCTTCAACCTTAATGTTGATTGCGCTAAAAAAGTTATTATGACTAAAATTATGTGTTTCGACTAACAAGAAAAAAATATTTCTCTTTCCTTTTCTTGTTTCTTATTCTTTTTATATCTTCTTTCTTTTTTCCTCCTCTATTAAATAAACTTTGAAATATAGACTCAATGTATTGAAAATTTTATTAGACATTAACATTTGTAGATCAAAAGTCTTTATTTAGATAACGTTGTGATGGGCATGTGTGTAATGTAAGCTACCGAAATTGAACAAGAGATGTTTGAGAAATGTGACTTCTTTAGTGGAGTTCAATGAGATGGTGACGTGTGTGTGTTGTGGCCATTGGATTTCTATGATTTGTGTTTAACCACTCTTTTTGTGGTTTTTAGATATTACAAATGCCACCTAAACTGCAACAGAATGCATTGGAGACACACAATGTGGGACAACATTAAATTATTCGATTGATCCTTTAGGAGTGTTTAGTTTTTAAACGAAATGATTCAATGTCATTTCGGAAGAAAAAATGAATGTGTTGAAGACATAATTTCAATAAATACATTGTAAGTTTTTGGACAAATCAGCATGTAAGCAGCAAATAAAAAAACTTTCATTTGGCAACAAAGTTGAATTATTCAAGCAACACTTTCAGCATCAGAAAACAGTCATTCAACGACTGAAGATCAAGGAAACAAACATTTCAGATAGAAGTTACACCTTAGAATTTCACATCTTAGACTAACTTGTTTCTGGCACTTCTCACATCTCAAACAAATCGATCAAGGTACTCCTCGACTGTGGTGTATTTGACATCTGGATAGAGTTCTGTCGCCTCAACACCGAATGATGGCTCAATCTCAAAATAGGTCTGGTCACCCTTCACAAAAATTGAGTGGTTGATCGAAAGTATGATATTGACAGGGATCGGAGATTCTGCAACGATGCATGAGAACAACAATATGAATTGATCCCAATTTACATAAAGCGCCGATAAAGAATATCAAGAGTCCAACAAAAGCATTGTTGCTCACCTTGGATTTGCTTCACAAGCTGTTCCTCTGAAACATATTCTTTCTCCAGAGTTTTGCCAATCTTTTTCTCCCACAAAGCAACAAGTTCATTGAATGAATATATGTTCTTAGGAGGCTTGATGTAAAGGATCTTGTTCAATGTTCTTGGATCGTCCACAGCCTTGATGGTGTAAGTGCCAATATCTTCTTCGTAATTGAAGACAGCTACAAACACGAAAGACGAGGGGAATAAAGAACTTGATCCCTATTGCTATATTCATTGTTCGATGCAGCCTTGGCAATACAAGAGTAAGGCCATAGGATATCAAGGAAATTTATCCTAGTTTACTTTATGAGTTAAGAGTAGCAAAGACCAAGAATATAGAGATTCAAAACGGCTATTCAACAATCATCAATCATCAATCCAAAATGTTCTATGAAACAGCTATGAATTCTTGGATTTGTTTCAAGTACCTTTGGCGTTTCCATCTCCTGGGATGATTACTTTGTCTCTTGGAGGAGCAGTGGCTCCCGGCTGTGCCAACGTTGGAAGAGAGTAGCCAGCAAAGTAGTTGGACGACACATAAGTGTAAGGAATTCCTTCTGCCTCAATGGCTCTGCGGATTTGGGCCTTGGTTGCAAATGCAGACTTTGCAGGCCCTACAGCACGAGTACGATCTACATCATTGCCAAACTCCGAAGGGAAGAATCTCTGGAAAGTTCAAGAATATCATTTAGAAACACATATTAAGGTCGAATATATATATATTATATATGATAATGAGAAATTCTCAAATCCGAGGTTCCCCCAATGCACTGTCACCGGGGAAATCAGATATTTGACACTATTTCTTTGATGAAATTGGAAATTTGGATAACATGAATTTCCCATCTCAAATTTCATTCCCTGGACAAGGATCCTGGAATTGGATTCACCAAGAAAGTAAAATCTGGTCCTCAAAGTAGGATTAGTAAAACTCCACATAATAAAACACAACAATAATCGAGTAATTCTATCAACAACAAACCAAGTATAGTTCCTGTTAAACTTAGAGACAGCTACATGAATGCTTTTTCTCGACCCATTCAGTTCATTGCTAGATCTACTCGAAATGAAAACAAGGACGAATCAAATACTAACCTTAACATTTCCAGCTTCTTTAATGGCAGCAATGATCTTAGTTTGATCGGCTAACTGAAGGGAACCCACGGTTGATATAACAACATCCACCTGCTTAATCGCCTTCACCAAGCTCTCATGATCATATAAATCACCCTGTGAATTTCACAAAATAAAACCCTAAATCATCATCCACACAAAATAAATTCGCATACAAAACAGAGATGAATAATTGACAAAAAATTTTAAAAAATAAAAAAATAAATAAAATACAGATCCATACGATTAATATTGTGACACCAGAGTTCTTGAAGCCCTCAATGATTTTTCCCTTAACAGGATCAGAAATTGTGCTCTCTCTAGCAAGAGCAAAAGTTGGGTGCCCAGATTTTGCACTTGCTTCAACTATGAATTTTCCGATGTACCCAGTTCCTCCGATGATCAAAATCTTGCTTTTCTCAGCCATTTTCGCGAATTTTCTTGAGAATTATTGTATGTATGAGATCCACTCGTAGTGAAATTGTGACGTTCTGAATGCAATGGAGTCTCAGTATTTATAGAAAAGCTTAAAGAAAATACTACAATTCATATTGCCATTGGGTCATCGTACTATCAGAATGAGCCTGACGTAAAAATTCCTGTTTGCTAAAATGAATTTGGACACAAAAGTGAATGCATGGAGACGCTAAAATGAGAGATATTCTTGGTCCTCCATTAATTGCATTCCAAATTTGGAAGATTCGAGTCGTTACGAGTTTTAATATATTTTAATTACTTAATTAGATGGCTTGTCATCTAAAGAGAATGTATTCAAATTGGATAATGCAATCTAATTTACCGGCGTTACAATCACAGTCTATTAGCAAAGTTTGCCAAAACTTTCATTTGTGCCATCATAAGTATCAAATCTTTAGAAAATTTGCAGCTCAAATCTCAAATGACGATTTGTGTTAATTTGACTACCAAAACCATCAGTTGACTCCCAAAATAAAGAATGTTATTATTTTTTCAAATAAGACGGACATTTTATATAAAATGCATTTTCCTTAGAAATTTTTTTTTTTAAATAATAATAAAGCCACAACATATACCCATCTCCTTCTTCCCCATAAAAAAAATACTCCACCCAACCACCGCCAATACTGCTCACCCGACACCGGCATCACCACCACCCATTTCTCTCAAAACCTTAAGCTCCAAAAAACCTCGATCAGCCCCTCAATTACGCCCACATCTACCTACTTGACCTCCTCTCCCAGCCATCATCCGCATTTATCTACCTTGACTTTGACCTCATAGTCATTGACAGCATTGCAAAACTCTGGCGAATCAACCTTAATTCCCGCATCTTAGGTGCCCCTGAATATTGCCATGCTGATTTCAGCCATTACTTCACATCAAGATTCTGGAAAAGTCCAGCGTTTTCCACAGTATTCAAAGGCCGTAAGGCCCATAACCCATGTTATTTCAACATCGGCATGATGGTAATTGATTTGACAAGAGCTCAAGGGTACACAGAAAAACTCGAGTACTAGATGAGAATTAAAAAGAGGTACAGAATCTACGAATTGGGTTCACTACCTCCATTTTTACTCATTTTCGCTAGGAATGTTGAAGGAGTAGAGCACCGGTAGAATCAGCACCGACTTGGCGACGATAATCTTGAAGGTTTGCGCAGGGATCTGCATCGCGGTCTGGCGAGTTTACTCCACTGGAGTGGAAAAGGGAAGTCATGGTTGAGATTGGATGCTAAGAGGGCTTGCACTTTAGATAATCTTTGGGCGCCGTATAATTTGTTTTGCCATGAATACTTATTTTCAAACAGTTAAATGCATTTCGGTGGAGCTTAAGGTTTTGAGAGAAATGGGTGGTGGTGATGCCGTTGTTGGGTGGGTGGTAGTGGCTACCAATGGTGATTGTGGTGGTTGGATGTAATGGTTTTGATTTTGGGGAAGAAAGAGATGGGGATTGGTTGTGGCTTGATTATTTATTTATTTATTTTGATTTTTGATTTAATAGAAAAAATGTATTTGATAAAAAAATGCTCTTGTCGTATTTGGGAAAATAATAACCCTTTTTTTTTTTGGAAGTCAACTGACGGTTTTGGTAGTCTAACTAACGGATATTGTCATTTTGGACTTGAGTTGCAAATTTTTTAAAGGTTTAGTACTCTCGGTGGCACAAATGAAATATTTGGGCAAACTTTGTTAATAAATGAAAGGTTTTGTACCGTGGTTGCAATTTTTCCAACATTAAATGATATGTGGAATCAATCAAGTCATTTAATTTCATCTTTCATTCAGCCTATCATCTAGAGTCATCAAAATTGAGATTGTAACCCTGGTGAAACTAAATAGCATTTTTCATTCAAATTTGACTTTTGAGTAATTCAGGCCTTACTTACTTTTCCTCCAACTCTACCAATCTTATGATTAATTCGCTATTAAATTTCGAGCAATTAAGCCCCTGTTTTGTAGGGTTAAAATCAAATTTTAGTAGATTTCATAAAAATTAATGAATATGTGGTTACAAAATTATGAAACCCATAAAATATATGGTTAAAATTAATTGTTGACTTTACAATAAATAATAAATAAAAGAGTATGTGAAGCCGAACTTTGGAGGCAATTTGAGGTCTGCCTTTAACCTTGAATCCATGATTAACAGTGATGTTTTAGAATTAATTATGTGTAACTAATAAGATTGAAAATTACGAGATCTCTAATTTGATTTCAAGTTTGTCTCTCCAATGTAGGACTAATATTTCTTACCAATTCGTTATTTCTGAATAGTTGATGACCTATTCGTTATCCATAAGAATTTTTTTTAGCAAATGGTTGACAACAATTATTTTTGAACTGGGAAATCGATAGAAACATGAATCGTTGAGTAATTATGACTCGTGATTCATTTTTTGTAAGCTCAAATTGACAATATAATGTCACAGGTTTGTAAGTTGTTTAAGTAATCGTGATCTATAATTCTTCATATATGACATAGGTTGCGACTTATGAGCTTCAACTCCTCCATGTGACCTTGGTTGTGATTTTTTCAATGTTTTAAAAATTGATCAGTCCATCAATTTGGAAAAGAGAAAGGGTCAAAGGTCAAAAGGATTGAATCGGGATGGAACCGATGATTTTAAAAAAATTTTAAAAAATATATACATTTAAAAATTTATAAAAATATACATTTACATATGTTGAACCGGCTAAATCGGGAACATGTTACGAGTTTTCCAAAAATAGACTGATTTAATAGGTTTTGGGGCAAGTTTTTAATTAGAGATATAAGTCTAATTGGACAAATTTTGGTCCCGATTCCCAATTTTCCTGATTAAACTGGGCTGGTTCGATTTTTAAACACTAGATTTATTATTCTCCCATTGTTCTTTAGAATATGAAAATAACAAAGTATTACTCAATCGATATTTTAAAAAATCAAACATGACATTTTTTGGCTCCAACAAGTTCTTTATTTTAACTTTTTAGAATAGAGAGTACGTTTGATTCTTTGCATTCGGAGAGTCAGATAAATTGTCCATTTATATTCATATTTAACAAATTGCTAGTTTTATTATTAAGCTATACACTGACATCTAAAAAAATGTTTATTGAAAGTTAATAATTGTTGAAAACATAAAACAAAGAGTAAAAGGCTTACAGCTTGTCCAAGTGCATTAAACATTTTACTCCATAAATTTTGGGAAATACATGAAAATGACCAAAATAAAGAGACTATTTTTCTAAACTAGTCTTTGACCATTTCAACCAATTAAAGTATCTAAAATAACCCCTCTTTATAAATATTACATACAAATCACTACGATATAGAAATCTTCCATTCTAGTTCTTGAAATTAATCATTACTTGAATTTAGATAGATTGCTTATATAGATTTATTTGTTTTTTGATCGCTCAAAGTAGCACCCCCAAATTAATTGGTATCAGAGCCATTAAGGTCATGAAAATTAAAATAAGTAAAATAAATAATTATTGACATTTAGAAGAAGAAAAATGAAGTTATATATTTTTAGAACCTATATATAATAACTTAATGATAGTGACATTAACAATAGTTAAAGAATTACCTAAAGAAATAAAAGAACAAATATTAGAAAAATTAATAATAGGATCAATAAAAATTGAATAGATTACTCGCAAATATTAAAAAGATACAATGAAAAATACAAGATATATCATTAATACTAGATGAAATAAAAGTAAAAGAAAAACAGTTAATAAAATTAAAATGTGAAAAATTAAAATTACAAAGTAAATACTTTAAGATAGTTAAAGAAGAATTAGTCAATATGAATATAACTAATAGAAGATTTGGAAAATAATAGATGAAAAAGAAGATAAAAGTTGTAAAATAACTTATATGTTAGAAAGATGATTAAGAAAAAATTAAGATATCAATAAGTGAATATATGGAAGAATTAAAATCATTAATAAAAATGTTGATAAATGATGTTCAAGATTTAAGAAATAAAGTAAAAGAAACAAGAAATGATATAAATATATTAAAAATTGAAATTAGAGAATTAAAAGAAAATAATAAAAATACAGAAAAGAAAATAGATAAAAAATTTATAGAAAAAGAAATGATCTGAATAGAAAAGAAATATATTTTAAAAAAATATATAGTAATAGAAACATGAAGTATGGATGATGAATTTAAAAATAATATATTACCTAAAATATTAGAAGAAGAATCTAGAGAAAAAAATGTTAGGAAAATTAAAAATAGAAGAAAATCAAGAAAATAAAGATGAATGAGGAATTAGATTTACTTATAGAAAATTTCTATCAATTAAATTTAAGTGATATAAGTGAATACAAGTTTTAATGAATACTGGAGGAGAGTCTAATCCAATAGAAACCTCTAAACAAGAATTGTAGGAATCAGATGAAAGTTATGCACCTATATATAATAAATCATATAGACAATTTTATGATAAAGTAATAGAAAGACAACCACCTAAAGGAAATAAATATAGAGACATATTTGAATTAAAAGATAATTATGAGAAACCTATTAACCATGGAGAAACAAAATTAGATTTAAATTGTAAAATAGATACCAAAAAAGCCCTATTAACTTGGCAGATTAAATGGTATTATTCTTTTTATATAATAAAGGTGACACATGGAAAAGTAATAAAAGAAGAATAGATTTCTTAATAGCATCTTTTAAAGGAGATGTTAAAAATTTGTGAGAAGGAATAAGTAATGATACAAAAATATTAATAAAAAGAAATGTACAAACAAAAATAATAAAATCAGATAGACAAGATATAGAAAACTTAGTAGAATATATTTCAGATGAATTTTTAGGAGAAAATTGGATAAGAAATTTTAAAGGAGAAGGAATAAGAGAAAATGATAATGCTAGAATTAAATTAATAAATTTAACAATATGTGATATGTGTAAAATTAAAGAACATACTTGTGAATTCAGAAATTATAATTATACTCAGTTTTATAGTAATGAAAATCAAGAAATATACCAAGGCATGTACTATAATAAGTTATCAGGTTCATAGAGAATACATTTTAAAATATAATTTGAAAAATATGTTAGGGATAATATTGGAATACCTAGAACTTTAGGTTCAAGAATAAAATTTTTATTTTAAAAACTTGCATATATATGTCAATAAAGACAATTATTGAAAAAATCAGAAAAATTAATTAAAATATGTTGTGAAGATATGAAAAACTCTATACAATGAGGATGTAATCTTGA